GAACGTTTTTTTTACACACGTATCTTTTTATTAATATTTCTGAGATTTTGTGGCGCCATTAAACAAATTCGAACCTACATTTCAAAATAATAATCATAACTTTCGATAGAATTAACCAATTTTAATAAAACAAAGATTAAATGTAACTCGAAGATACGCTTTATGATTTTCTTAACGATTTCTTTGAAAAACAAAAAGATGTTTACTTTAGACGTGATGCTTTCATATAAAAACAGACAAACAGACAGAAAGACAATTCTAAAAATTATAAAAATGTGCTTATTTAATTATTTTTAGTTCCCCATAATGATTTTAGTCACCATAATATATATACAATGTACAGAAAGAGACACAACATGTTATCATCATTTTTATTATATGTATATATTTAAAGAGAGATGGCGCTGCTAACATCAACTTGATAACTCAAACAAAGCCACCGTTGAGCAAATTCCCTACCCATACTTCAGAATATTTATCATAACTTTTGATGGAATGAACCGATTTTAATGAAATAAAGACTAAATGTAACCCGAAGGTACACTTTATAATTTCCTTAACAATTCTTATGATATAAATTAGTACTTTCAACGTGATACGTTAACAAACAAACAGACAGACAGACAGACAGACAGACAGACAGAAAATTCTAAAAATGGTAGAAATGTATTTAATTACTTATTTTTAGTACCCCTCAATCACTTTTATTACAAAAATATAAAATGTACAGACATCTGCTATTTACAGTTTTATTATATGTATAGATTAGTATATACTTTTTAATAATAATTAAATTAAAATAAAACAAAATTAAAGGTCTCGCGACATATTAATAGGTTTTTATGAAGTTACGGCTGCTATTACGAGGACAATGATATTATAAATCCTTTATAATATCATTGTACGAGGATGTCCTGTAGGATCGAAGACGATTGTTGCCTTAGCAGATTATCAATCCAAAATTACATTACCGAAAGTGTCTAAATTTTTTAACCTCTAGGTATACCTATTTAAATTTCCTCGTAAAAGATAAAATTATTAAATATTATAGTACGGCCGCTGAGTTATTACCGATTTGACAAATTATTCTTAAATTAATCGATATAACCTTGCACGAGCGACACATTTGCCGAATGATTTAGAATACCTCTTTAATATAAAACTTTATGTCAAAATGTCAGAATCAAGTAATTTTCCAATAAACTCTGTTTCAAAACTTAAAGTAGTTTGTAAATAATATGAAAACATTTATTTTTTGTTCTTTGGCGCGCTTGTACAAAGTTACATCGTGCGTCTAGTTTTCATAGTGATGTGCTTGATAGTATTCGGTCCGAATTCATTGGAATAGATATGATATTTATTTTATTTGGATATTTTTATTTTACTTATTCCTTCGAGCAACTAGACTATAATGCTACCATTTTTTTGCGTCTCCTAATTGCACTGTGTTGCCAGTATCTCTATGATTTTTAAGATTTATGTGTGATCCAAAGACAGAAATACTGTTTCCTATGATTTAAAAATAAATACAATTTTTTTTTTACAAAACGTTACCCCCACACTAGGATTTTCTCCTGTGTCGTGGAGGCAGTTTACAAACATAAATTGCACAAGGACAAACATCCAGACCCGGAACAATTATTTGTAGGCCATACAAATACTTGTTCCGTGCGAGATTCGAACCCGCGGCCCCCAGCGCAACAACTGATTACTAAGCCACTACGCCACGGAGCCGTCAATTAAAATGATTATGTATAATTTTTAACATTCATAATATATAAAACAACATTTAATAAATATAATTTTCTCCCTCAATTAAGCAATGTTATAGGTGTATTTTTTTAAAGTAATTGGCGATACTATTCTAGCAACACCCTTACCACCGCTATTTTAATCTGTTTAGTCGTCTTCCGTACTCTCGTGTGGAGGTGGGCAAAGTGTATCATTTTTGGGATTGGAACATTTGCATCTTGATCTTGAGTGTTGATGTTTTTGATGCAGATGCAATAAGAAACCACATATATGGTTATTATACTAGGAACGAGTTTCCAACTAGACGTTTGCTTTTGGTCTCTTTAAAAGAAGCTGGCTTGTTTAAAGGCGGTAAAACGGCGTTGTCAAAACTATTGCACGAAATTGGGTTTGAATATAAAAAAACGAATAAAAGGAAAATATTAATGGAAAGATTTGATTTAATAATTAAAAGGAGCGAGTTTTTAAGAGAAGCCAGAAAAATCGAGTCTTGGGACAACGTCGTTTTTGTTGACGAAACATGGTTAAATGCGATCCACACTGTGTCACGCTCTTGGACTGACGAAACAAAAGCATCAACCTCAAAGGTTCCAATTGGAAAAGGATCGCGACTGATAATTTGTCACGCCGGTTCTGCTGGAAGTGGTTTCTTTGAAAATGGACTGCTGGCTTTCGCGTCAAAAAGTACTTCCGATTACCACGAGGAGATGGATACAGACACTTTTACGAATTGGTTCGAAAATCAATTATTACCCAGCCTGCCAGAGCCTTCTATCATAATAATGGACAACGCTTCATATCACTAGAAACAAGTGAATAAAGCGCCTACTCAGGCCGACAAGAAAGCTGATCTCGTAGCATGGCTACACCAAAATGGAATTGAAACTACTGCCGAAATGCTAAAATCTGACTTAGTAAAGTTGGTACGCGAAAATAAAACATCAAGAGTCCGTTATGAAGTAGATGAGATAGCTCTAGCACATGGACATCGGGTACTTCGAATTCCGCCTTATCACTGCCAGTACAATGCCATTGAGCTAATATGGGCACAAATCAAAGGTATTGTTTTTTATCGCATAACTTATGAATATGAATAATTTGTACTATTATAACATCCAATATTCAGCATATAAGTAAAAAGATACATAACTAAGAAATAAATATCTCATGTCCCTTACATGTAGGTAATTGTGTAACATTTCGTTTATTTAATGTAATAAATATGATATGAGAAACTTGCACACAATCATAATTTTATCTATGTGTCCATTGGGCGTGTAAAATTAAAGCCAGAAAAAGATATCGCTGTTTCTTTCTTTCACATTCTTTCAGATTGCCAAATACATATTATATCGGAATAAACTGAAAATGTTAATTCTGTGTTAAACTTTTTTTTTTGGTTGCTCGTTAGAGTATAATCAAAGAGAATATAATCACTTGAGTATAATTACATACATATTACTCTGAGATTTGCACAATTAATTCACCTATTGATTAAAATTGAATTATTGAATATCAGCAGAATTCTATTAAAAGAAGCCATGAATTAAAAGACGAAAAAAATGACATTTGTTTGTCAACGTCTTTCATATTAAAATATTTTCTGAAATTGATTCAAGTTTGGATTTTAATATTTGTTATTGCCATTGAGTTATATGTACTACGTACTAGAGAAGCCATTCCAAACAAAAATTGTGTCCTACTCTGTCTTCGCGCATGCGCGGGAGTAGTAGTCGCGCATGAGCGAAGACTTTAATTTGATATAAAATAAGATATTAATATAAAACAAATATAAGAATTTAATCTAAAATATCTTAATTTCATCTAAACAAACATCTAAATAAAATATAATAATAATTATTTTATGGAATTCACAAATCTTCAATTTACGCAATATTTAGTTTGTACAGATTGCAGTACAGTTCAGTTGAACATAGTCAATGTTCGGAATGGCTTCTCTAGTACGTAGTACATATAACTCAATGGTTATTGCGTTTTGTTTAAATTCACTTAATATCGGTTCCGAATACTTCATTTTTGTTTGTAGGCATTTGTATGCGATTGTGTGTTTAAAGATTTTTTATGAGATGTTGACTCTGTATGAGATATTGACTATAAATTAATTTATTATTTAGAAATTTTATGCACGATGTGCGATCAGAACCGGTAGTATAGAAGTAAATTAAGCGTTGTGCAAACAAAAAGCACAAAGTCATCTGGTCACTTTCTGCAGGTTTCCTACAATAGAAGAAGAAAATGTTTTGACAATATTGTGGTAAGTCTTGAAGCATTTTGAATTTATTTATCGTTATTTGTGGGGATTATTACTATATTAACTCAAATTTTATCTGTTTCAGATCAAGTATTTGGGATGAATTAAGTTTTCATTGTGAGAATTTTACTGATTTAAATTTACGTTAATGTTCTGTGAAGAATAACTCTAACGATAACATATGTTATAAATCAATATTACGCGTAGAAATACCTTCAAAAGCAATAAAAACAGCAATAATAATAAGTATAGTGTATAAAACAATTTCTTCCAAAAAATAAAATTACACAATAATACCTATTTTTAGTTTTATTTTATCCCACATACTCCTCTAAAGTAAATTCGAGTAATTTTGGTGCAACCTCTCAAATGTATGGGAATTCACCCAATAGGTTTGTAAGGCTCGAGCCAAAATTACTCAAATTTGTCTTAAATAAACAAAGTTTAAAGGCTACAGAATAGAAGGTTTTGAAATTCCCGCTAAATAAGTTTTATATGGGCGCCCACCGTGGCGCTTTTAGTATGCACTCATAAACACGTGTTTCCTTTTTTTTTTAGTATGAAGTTGGCGTTCTTCTTTCGGTAGAGAGTAATTGTGTTCTGTGGCCTCCTCTATAGATTGCTTCATAGGGGGGATATTTGTCATAGTTTCCACACTCGGCAAGCGGGTTGGTAACCTCGGTTTTTTATTTTAGTCGTTATTAGGAAGACTGCTGTTCATCTCCTGATTTGTTTCTTACGACACCCACGGTATGATATGGGGTAGTGGACATTCTTACACCGCCACTACACCGTACATTACAACAACCAATACTCTCTTAAAAATTTGTGGCTGTGATATAAATAAATTCTAATATAAATGGGGCCGGTGCCCATATGTATGCATGTACAATACAATACGCATGCACAATGTTCGTATCGTTTCTTTTTAAATGCATACTCACAACACCGTTCTCATCCGTCATCTTCTTCGTAGGGAAGTGGGTGTGAGCAACGGAACCGTTCCAGTCCTGAGCCGGCTTAGATAGAAGATGACAATGACCCCGTACTGCTCGGCCAGCCTGTGCAGAATGTACCGCTCCATCCACATAACGTCGACCGCCGTGACTCCCACCAATGGCTCAGCTTGGAACTCCCGCTGAGAGGGCATCTCTATAGAACCTCTATAGAAATTACATCTATAGAAAATATTGTATTTTTTATGGTACTACATAACCGAAAAAGCTAATGTTTTTAAATACAAACTAATCGAATCTTTATGTGTCTAATATAACGGAACATTTTAGCTGTCATGCACATTTAATGTGTGCGGAATGTATACATTTAAAAAAACAAATGTGCATGCCTTAAGCACCCAAGTTTTTATTAATAACCTTATTACTTACTATAGTTCTATGTCTAACGTATATATATATATTATAATAACGTAATAATTGTATGTCTACTATAATATAATTATATGTCAAACATTAATGAAAACAAATACATTTAAAAAAACAAATGTGCATGCCTTAAGCACCCAAGTTTTTATTAATAACCTTATTACTTACTATACTTCTATGTCTAACGTATATATATTATAATAACGTAATAATTGTATGTCTACTATAATATAATTATATGTCAAACGTCAATGAAAACAAAGTTTGGAAAATCCAAAAATGCACGACTCATATAAACGCTCATATCGCACGCTTAATAATATACGGACCTAACTAAAAGAACAGTTTTTTGGGAAATTGCATAAAACCTTTTTGGTAATCGTGACTTGTCTTACATAATACCCTAAAACTTAGTAAAAAGCATAATAATAATGAAATAATATATTGTAGAAGTAGTTGATGAACTGATTATTGATACTCAAATGATATTTAGAAGAAAATTTTGTTTTTAATTTATTTCTTAAACGTTTAAAAATGATGTATGTGCTCAGTGTGTAGATGACATAAGTCTGTTTACTATTCAAGCCAATTATATATCGTTCTAGTACTAATGTCACATTTTGTAGTAATAAGTCTGTATTTTATCAAATATCTACCTAAATATTTAACATTTTTGTGTATTTCCTCTGTATTGGATAAAATAATAAAACATTTTTTTTTTTAAATATTTTAAGTCTTTTATTGTGTAATTTGGCACAAAATGAAATCAAAAACAAAATAAATTTAGCACATTTTTTGAAATCACCTACTTTTTGTACTTATTTCTGAAAAAAGTATTTATTATTATTTCAGTTTAAAAGTTTAAGCTACTACCAAGTTAGCTTTATAAATTCAATTTCTAAAAAAACTTTATGTGCTATAAAAATAACAATCATAACACATACTTAACCTAGCTTCTATGTATTCATTTTTACCTTACATCCTTAAAACAAAAAGATTAATACCTATTACTTAATTATCTCTGCAATATTTGGTATTCAATCAGTATAACCACATAAACTATTATAATATAGATTCTAAATAATATAGTATAATACAAAACTACTAGTAGTCGCAACCGCTATTGCTGAGTATGAGGTCCTGGATGTGAGTGAGTGTGATTCTCAGAGCGGGTAATGTGTCATTGGGTTTTTTCATTAGAATTTCTCAGTGGCAGCCCGGAGCCTGAATTTGTGCCCGGATGCTGGCTATAGGCTCGCTCTCCATTACATGGGACTTAAACACAATTAACAAAATGTGGGTGTACTATCAATCAATCAGTCAAAAATCAATTGTGTTAAATTTACAACAACGAAAGTTAAAAATCTGAATACCAATGTGTTTTTAAATGGGGAGGAATTGAGCCACTGTTTTTCTTGGCATTACTCTCGACGCAAAGCTATAGTGGGTCCCCCATATATCCAAACTAGCAAGCAGACTAAGTTCTGCAGCCTATGCTGTAAAAAAGATTAGAGGTCTCACTAGTGTCGAGACAGCTAGATTAGTTTATTTCAGTTATTTCCATAGCATAATGTCTTATGGGATTTTGCTATGGGGAAATGTGGCTGATTCAGAAACTATTTTTGTTTTAGAGAAGAGGGCCATTAGAGCTATTTACAATCTAAAACCGAGAGAGTCTCTTAGAGATAAATTTAAAGAAATAAATATATTAACTTTGGCCTCTCAGTATATTTATGAAAATTTAATGTATGTTCACAAAAACACAGGTAGTTTTAGTAAAAAAAAGTGATGTACATTCTGTAAACACTAGGAACAAACACAAGCTAGTGATGCCAGTATCTCGACTCCACAGAGTCAGTAATTCATTCTTGGGGCAATGTATACGCTATTACAACAAGGTCCCGGAAAGTGTACAGGTTCTTTCTATTAACAAGTTTAAATGTTTTATTAAGCTGAACCTGTATAAAAAGGGTTATTATAGTATAAATGAATACATGGTTGATAATAACCCCTGGGAATGAGGTGGTCGCTTCCAAGCAGTTTCTAAAATAAATTTTCTAAATAGTTCGTAATCATTTATATTGTAAAATTTATTTTAAAAAAGTCCCGCTGGGTTTCTTGCTGGTTCTTCCCAGGACAAAGGGTTTTTTTTTCGAACCAGTGGTAAAGTAAAAAATGACTTTCAATAAGAATTATACATGTAATGTATATTGAATAAAAATTATTCTATTCTATTCTATAGGCCCACCTCTGGCTAACTGCGGGAAATACAAGCGCGATGTTATGTATTCTGAAGTAAATTACAACTCAGTTATGTTTGTAATATAAAATTAAATAGGTATAACATTACCACAACATTAGCCGCAGAATCTAGAACTAAGTTTAAAACTAGCGTTGTGCAGGCCAAACACCACAGCGGAACTGCTTCGGCTCAATTACGCAAGGGGTTGGAGGCTCAACGGACTACCATAGTCCTAATCCAAGAGCCACGGCTAAACACAAGGGTTGGGGCCGGTAAAATCAAGGGCCTAAACAACCTAAAAGGTAAGTTATTCTACAACTCTGAACGCCTGGAGCGTGTATTTATACTACTAAAGATATCTGCACAACCATTAACAGATTTCTGTTCCAGAGACATGTATGCCATAGCATTACAAAACACACAGGAGGAAAGAATAGTCGTCGCCTCGGTCTACATGCCGGATGAAGACACTCCTCCTGCGATAGGACCGGACTAGAGGTTGTGATCGGGACGGACTCCAACGCGCATCATCCCCTCTGGGAAATGGAAAAACCCAATGAACGAGGTAAGGTTTTAGTTGAATATCTATTTAGCACTAACCTAACCATTTTAAACAGGTACTGAACCAACTTTCAAAAACAAACGTTGTTGCACAATAATCCAACTCACAATTGCAACAGAAGGAGCAGCTAAACTAATTACGGGATGGCATGTATCAAAAGAGGCCTCATGTTCAGACCATAGGTGGATCTGCTTCGTACTACAGGTCGATATCCCCGATACACCATCATGGATAAATGATGGATGACGTATGATGGATAAAACAAAATACCTTAATAGGTTGACTTCTTCGCTCGCAGGTTTTGAGGGGATAAATACTATAGCAGATCTGTCGCTCCTAGAAGAACAGGTAGCAGCTGTTACTATGGCCATGATGCCATGAATCATGTCCAGAAATCACTCCACCAAGACATGCTGAGGTAAAGCAACCGTGGTGGGTTAAAGAACTGTATAGAAGACGTAAGAAGGTAAGAAAAACCCTAAATAGGGCCATGAATACCTCAATGGATGAATACTGGCTACTATACAAGAAAGCCAAGTCCGAATACAAAAAATGTAGAGGTATCGACGCTCGATAGGGTGACGTTCAATTCTATGGTAACATAGAAACCTGTAAACAAGCGAATCGGATAAGGAAAATCCTAGCTAAACAGAACATGCCGGGATCCATCTCTTTAAAGAAACTCGACGGAGGCTACTCAACATCGCCGGACGAAATCCAACGCATCCTAATTGAAACGCACTTCCCAGGTTTCTGCATAACTCAGGGGGTCAACCGGCAGGAAGATGCACTGACACCAACAGCAGAAGACTGGAATTTAGAGAGTAGTAACGATGGACAAAATCCATTGGGTTATTCAGTTTCCTCTCCTACAAGGCGGCAGGACCTGACGGCGAATTCCCGGCACTCCTACAATGGGAGGGGGGGGGGGGTTGTTTTCAGCACAAAACTCCAGCTATCCTCCGAGGTAAAATATTTAGGGCTCACTTTGGATAGTAAATTTAAGTGGAATAAATATATAGAAAATAAAATCAACAACGCTAGTATAACTTTCTGACAATTCAGAAACATGGTTTGTAAAAGAAGAGGTCTGACGCCAAAAATCATACTGTTGCCATACAAAAATGTAATTCGGCCCATGATCACATACGGCGCTCTGGTATGGAGGACGAAAACGACGATGAAACCAAATGAAGCCACCACATAAAGAAGCTTCAGCGTTATCAGAGACTGGCACTGTCTTGTAAAAATCATTGTGAAAACGTATAAGAGTGAAAGAGACAGATAGAGTTTAAAGTTGGTTTAGAAACAAGTTATCGAAGAAATTCCGAGATAGAAAGATATATGACGTTAAAACGATTTTCTTTATATGCTTCACTCGTTTTGGACCTGAACCGTGATTGGTCAGTTTATTATTAAGCGTGCGATATGATCATGAAAAATAATTTAAAAAAAAGTTTGTAAATTGCAGTTCTATTCGTCAGAGTTCCAGTAGCAGTCACCGAAGTACACCTTCAGGTCATTTCATCAAATCCGGAGGTAAGGTCTCATTATAACTAACAAAACCAGCCCAAACTCGGCGCACCTAGTTCTACTCGTCGAGTTCCAGCAGCATTCACTGAAGTACACCTTCGGTCACTTCTCAAGTACGGAGGAAAGGTATCAATATAACGGTTGTCAGTTCCCAACTTATAAGTCAGTTCCTTGGGGACTCCGCATACAACCGAGAACGCATTAATTTGGTGACAGCCACCGGTCAGCGCATACCCGTCCGTGTAGAGGAGGTGGAGTTGAAGCTAGGCAACATGATCTACCTGCATAATGTCATCGTGGCTGATATAATGGATGACTGCATCCTGGGCTGCATACTGCAGACTTAATGAGGAAGAATTGTTGTGAGATCGACGTTAAGCAAGGTGTTTTGAAATGTGGAGAAGAGGAACTTTTTGTGGAAGGGGCGTTACCAGGGAATGTTAAGAAGATTGCGTGTCATCGATTCTTGGCAGGATAGCTGACCTATCCCTAGCCAAGAATCCATGACACGCCGGACATGCTTACAGGAGTAAAGTGGTTTAGTACGCTGGACTGGCTGAAAAGGTCTTCTTTTCGAATTCGTCGGAATTGATTGCTGTGGTAAAGTCCTTGCAGCATTTAGCAAATATCTTCTGGGGCGGAAATTTCACTTACGAACGGACCATGCTGCACTGAAATGGCTATTGCAGTTCAAAAATCCGGAAGGACAAGTTGCGAGATGGATTGAACTACTGCAGGAATACGACTTTGTGATCGAACATAGCAGTGGGAAATCTCATGGCAATGCATTGTTAAGAAGACCTTGTCCTGAAGATTGCAAGCATTGTACTAGGCAAGAGGGTAAGGAAGTGGTTTCTGTGAGGATACTCAGGACTGACCAGCTCAGCAATGAGTGGAAGGACAGCCTACAACATGCAAAGCAGGAAGATTCGGACATTAAGCCGATTCTGGAATGAATGAAGGCCAGTGCTCCTAAGCCCAAGTGGAGCGACGTCTCAGCGATGAGTTCGACCACTAAAAGCTGTTGGGCCCAATGGGACCGCTTGCTGAGTCCTTTGCCGTAAATGGGAAAATGGTCGGGGAGACAGTTGTCATTTGCAAATGATTGTCCCTAAGGCTAAAGTACCGGATGTTCTACAGCTGTACCATAATGGTTGTTCAGGAGGCCACCTGGGAGTTAAACAAACTCTACTTAAGATCTGAGAACGGTTTTACTGGGTCAACTGTCGTGACGATGTCGAGGACTGGTGCCGCAAATGTACAAGTTGTGCGGCTGTAAAGGGACCTCAAACTCGTAGTAGAGGCGTATTTAAATTGGGAGAGGATAGCCATTGACGTTACGGGGCCGTTTCCGGAAAGTGAAAGTGGTTACAAGTATTTCATGA